TAGACCGCATAGAGATCAGAGCTGTTCTCATTTGTGCTAATTGGCCTAGGAATGTATTAGAGCTTTCACACATAATACCTTGGATATAAATTAGGAAGTTGGGTACAGTGCTGAATTCATTTGAGGACTGAGGACAAGGCTCATGAAGGAAAGCCTGATGTTCATACCCTGAAGATATATGCAGGGTCATTGTAACAGCAAGAGGAATAACCAGGAACATACAGTAAGCATTTTTTTTGCCACACCCTGTTCTACCAGCCCTTATGTGCAATGATTGTATTTAATCGTTATAACAGCGAGTAAGGGAAGAGTATGTCCCATTTTAAAGCGTAGGAAACACCAGTTCAGGCAGTAACTGGTTTGTCGAAGGTCACCCTGTTTGCACTATTTCACATGAGGGGAGTGCTTTGGGGATGTAACATGTTCTAGCTTGTTTGATGCTTCAGTAACGCCTGCAACCAGATGCTGGCCCCATAGCAAACAAGGAAATTGAGGCTCCCAGAAGTGAAGCCCCTTCTTCATGCTAACAGGCCGTTAGGGCCCCAGCTCGGACGGGAGCCCACACCTTCGGACGTCCCAGCCGACGTCCACATTCCACACGAGGCGACCAAACGTGTATGCAGCGGGCCTTCTGCTCTGTCGTCCCCGCGCCACAGGCGACCAGACCCCTTCACGCCAAAGTGGGAGGCCACTGCCCAGAAGCTGCAGACAGCCCTCAAAAGGGCAGAGAGCCATGTCAGGACAGGCCCATAAGCGGGGCCCACTCTGTGTGCAAGGGCTCCCAGGCCGTCCGGCTCCTTGCCGCGGCCACGGTGCGCACCACCACCGCCTGCGCTGACCACCACAGCCTGGGGCCCCATCGCCTTCCCGTTTTAGTTTCCCAGACGTTTCCAGCCACTGTCTCCCCCCGCTGTAAACCCTCGTGCCTGTGTCACCCCTCCCTTCTTCCCTCACTAATGGTTCCCTCCTCGGAGGGCCTTCCTGCGTGTGCCAGGCCGGGACAGCAAGAAGGCAGCCTCACGACGCTTGTATTTTTGTTCGGCACTTGGCTTGCGCCGCGGGGTGCTGCTTCCGTACCCCGTGTGGTTTCCTGGCGCGGAACAGGCACTAATGGGGCTGACGCTTAGGAAGAGCCTGCCTCACGACAGGCATCGTTCTGAATCCTTCAGATTCATATCCCCGCATTGGGCCTCAGGACAGCCCTAAGGAAGGCGGATTCACTGTTATTCCCATTTTAGAGGCAAAAAGAGCTTAAGGCCCAGAAAGTTTAAGGGAAAGTCTCCAAGGTTACTACACAGGTGATACCGACAGAATCAGGAATTGAAGAATCTGTTCTGGTCCTGGGGCCCATGTTCTTAACCATTGCATCATTCTGTCTCTGCTTTGGGGGGGCACTGAAAGTATGCCCGACTCTGTTCCAGGGCATATTAACTCATTTTATCCCCACAGCAGCCCTAGAAGGTATATGTGCTCATGTTCCCTCTGGGCACGATCGCGTGGAGTTGTTTGCCCAGGACCCTCACTGTAAGTGGCCCAGGCAGGATTTGAACCCGGGTCTGTTTGGCTCTAGAGACCATGCTCCAAGCCTCCACATCACACCACTTGTGTTTGATTTTGGCCTCCCAGAAGTCTCTGCTTTCTGGTAGACTGTACACTCCTCAAGAGCAGGGCCCGTACGTGGTCACCCTTCTCCCCCCTTACTTGTCACAGGCCTGCCTTATAGTGGCTACTCAAGAGACCTGCCGTGTGAATGAGCAACCAAGGTGGTAAAGTGGGTTAGGAACCACTGAATCTTCCAAAGGTGAAATTTAAAAAGGAGCAGTTTTCTCATTTAAAAAAATTATATAATAAGTGTTTTGCCCCATTATTAACATTTCCTTGCAGTCCAAGGAAAACATGAATGAGGGAGCAGCTAGAGACAGGAAGAGGTAAGGTCCCCTTATGGGCTCCGCTTCCACCCTCGGGCTTAAGATTGGGAGTGCTGACTAGAAACGGCCTTCAATCATTCCACGCCTCATTCGGGATTGAGAGAACACACCATCTAATTGTGGTCAGAGAGGGGTACCGAGGTGGCGCAGTCCTTGCAGAGAACCCAGCAGCCCGGGGCTGTGGCGCCATCTGGAGACGGCAGATGGTAACGGCCGCTCTTTCCATTCCAAGCTCGGGCCAGGATTCATCGTGGAAAATGCATTTCCTGTTGAGTCCCTCAAGTTCCATTTCGTAACTGTTTCTCTGCGACTTCATGCCTTGATAAAATCAGTAGTTTTCTGTTTCTTCTGTTAAAAAAAAAAAAAAAGCAAAAACAAAGACCCGCTTTACATTCAGATGGCTAATTGGAGCTGTTTTGTTCATCTTAAACCCTTGCTCAAAGATACTGTGTATCAGGATGGAAGTAAACATGTAGTGCTGGGAGTGGGGTCAGCAGATACCCCCATTCCCAGGGGAGGGGGCAGGGCTCAAGTCTGGTGCCCAAGAGGCAAGGTAGGTTTTCCTTCTGCCGTCTGTGCTTGTGCACACCTGCACTGTTGGAAATTTGCTGAGCGGTGAGGGTGCAGGGGGAATTAAAGCAGGTTTATTTTGCCGTGAGTGGCGTAAGGGGTTGTAGTTAGCCTGGGCAGAATTCAGCCGCAAGAACGAACGATCACTTAATTCGTGACTCTTCCCCCATTCTTCAGGATGGCAAACTTTTTCTTCTAATTTTCTGCAGGACAACAGAACTGAGCTGAACCTTAGACACTCATCTAATCCAGATCTCTGCCTTCCACTAAGCAGTTGAAAACAGACATTGTCTGTCTCCTCCTTAAAAGTCCTCAACAAAGGAAAATTCTGTTTCTCACTTGTTCCACTGTTGACCATGATTTGTCACTGGCGAGTTCTAAATTTTTCATGAACTAGTTCCTTAAAATCTTTTCTGGTGGTTAGCATTTTATTTAATACATTTTAGTTTAATATATTTTAAATACACAAATTATTTAAAATATATTAACGTATTTAATGTGTTTTACTCTCCATATATAAGAAGATAATTACTTTAAACCTTAGCCTTTTCACAAACTTAAATATTACTCAGTGTCTGGTTTTCTACAGGATTCTTGCTGCTATTCAGCTTAGTTGTTACTCGGTTCTTCGTAGAAGGTGTCTTTTAACCTTTTAAAACTCAGGTCTTCATCTGTCATAGTCTCTTATCCCTTCCATCTGACGCTTCTCCCATCCCCATCCCCCTCTGCCACCCACCCAGGCACATCCCCATGTAAGATATGGGGACTGTTCCTGTGTGTCTTCGGCAGTGCAGGAGATTTTGTGGACCGCATCCTTGTGCTCTAGTTCACATACAGTTCACCCATCTAACCGTACAGTTCAGTGTCTTCATGTTTTCACAGACACGCACAGCCATCACCAGAGGCCGTTTTCGAACATTTTCATCAACCCAGAAGGAAACCCTGTGCCCGCTCACTGTCCCTGATCCGAAGTCCCCAGCACAGAGCAGCCGCTAATCTGCTTTCTGTCTCTGTGTATTCTTCTGTCCTGGGCATTTCGTAGCCACAGAGTCCCACAATATGTGGAACTTAACTTCTAATCGTACTTTCAAGCGTTAGCCGTGTTATAGCGTGACTCAGTACTTAATTCCTTTTTGTGGACAAGTAAGATTCCGTTGTATGGATACATCTCATTTTGTCCATCCCTTTGTCAGTTGCTGGACATTTCGGTTGTTTGCACAGTCTTTGGCCTTTATGAACAATGCTGCTGTGAACATTCACGTACAAGTTTTTGTGTAGACATATATTTTCATTTCTCTTGGGCTACCCGAGGAGTGATGTTGCTAAGCCACAGAAAGTCTATGTTGAATCACTTGAGAACTGTCAGACTCTTTTCCAAAGCGACTGCGCCATTTTGTACCCCCACCAGCAAGGAGTCTGATCGCCCCACAGCCTCATCAGCACTTGCTCTCTGCCTTTTGATTATGGCCTCCCAGTGGGCATGAGCTGATGTTTTACTGTGGTTAGATGTGCATTTCCCTAATGACTAATAATAGTGAGCATGTTCTCATGCGCCTTAAAACTAGTTGTATATCTTTCTTGAAGAAATGTCTATTTAGATTCCTTGCCTATTTTAAAAATTGGTTTGGGGCGCCCGGGTGGCTTAGTCAGTTAAGCGTCTCACTTCAGCTCAGGTCATGATCTCATGGTTCATGGGTTCAAGCCCCACGTCAGGCTCTGTGCTGACAGCTCAGAGCCTGGAGCCTGTTTTGGATTCTGTGTCTCCCTCTCTCTCTGACCCTCCCCCTGCTCACACACACTCTCTCTCTCTCTCAGAAGTAAATAAAAACATTAAAAAAAATTTTTTTCATAAATTGAGTTATTTTCCTTTTGTTGTTGATTTGTAAGAGTTCTTCATATATATTCTTTTCACTGTCTTGATCATGTCCTTTGAAACACAAAGCTTTTAATTTTGATGAGGCCCAATTTATCTTTTGTTTCTTTGTAAGATTTTTCTATAGTAGATATTATAGAACTATTAGGTGTATTTTTACTTTCCAAATGTAAAACTAGAGAAAAGACGGTGTTTTAAATGCGTCACCGTCTCCTGAGAGCTCTGGTGGGTGGAGGGTGCTCTCCCCTCAAAACCCCGGGGCTCCTCAAGGGCTCATCACCGCTGGGCTGCTTCTCCTGGGGGCCTGTTCTGCCTCTTTCTGTCAGGTGTTTTTGCATGCCTCTAATCGGAGAGGTTTGACTTTAACAGAGAATTTGGAGTAAGATCTCAGCTATTGTTAAATAGAAGTGGAGAGGCAGCATTCTGTAGGCCTGGTGGGTGTTCTGATCTTTAATACCATACTCTGTTTTTACAGTAGCTGCATAGAGTCGATGTGCAGTGCTCCGCCGTCACCCAGAGAGCAGCATGTGTGCTGGGTGTGCAGAGCGGGTCTGCTAACCAGAGCGTCCCAGGGCGGGTGGTGACCGAGGGCCTGCCTCATGTGGATGCTCTTGCTTCCTTCCCACCAGGTGTGGCAGATCCCAGAAAATGGACTCACCCTCTCCCTGACCGAGCCTGTGGTGATTTTAGAGGGCCACTCAAAGAGAGTTGGCATCGTGGCCTGGCACCCGACTGCCCGCAACGTCCTTCTTAGCGCAGGTAGGAGCTAAGCGCTGGGGGAGGGGGCAGTGACCTGTGCGTTTTGATGTGTGTTCTGCAGCGTTGAAGCAGCGCCCTAGGAATCCCTGCTGAGGGGCCCAGATGCAGCGGTTCCCTAGGCCAGGCGCGCGCGTGTGTGTGTAGGTGTGTGTGTGTAGGCCACGTTGGCAGTCTGACTCAAGACTTCTTGCCTTGAGAAATAAACAGACACATTTACCTTACTGTAAATCCAGCAGATCCGTGGCTCCTCCTGGGGCCCATCATGGACCAGAGTTTTAGTGACTCCTGACAGAGCAGGAGGTTCCCCGGCGGGACCCCTGGGTGCCGCCTCTGATGTCATTGCCAACTTTGGGGTGATCCTGAGCAAATATCCTATATCTCTAAAAAGATATTTTCATTGATTTCCTTATACAAGTAGTACACGTATGTTATAGAAAATATATAGAAAAAAGGGAGAAGATAAAAATCCGTTGTAATCCTGCCACCCACCCAGAGGGAGCATCATCGTTACCATTTCTGTGTTTCTTTCCTGAGGTACACTTTAAATGTTTATTTATTTTGAGAAAGAGCGAGTGTGAGCGGGGGAAGGGCGGAAAAGGGAGAGAGAGAGAATCCCTAGCAGGCACAGAGGCGGACGCGGGACTGGAACTCACGAACTGCGAGATCATGACCTGAGCCGAAACCAAGATTCTGACGCGCAACTGACTGAGCCACCCAGGCACCCAGTTTCCTATCATATTTTTAACAGCTCCAGGAATAGTCCGTTGTCTGCACACCTTCATTTATTTCATCAGTCCCCTGTTTCTGGACATCCAGGTTTTGTTTTGTGTTTTCATGCCGCTGGGCAGCACTTAAGAGTGAACCCTCGAACCAAGATCTGGTGCTCTCAGTTTGCCTCTTGAGTGGTTTCCATGTTTCACCCTACAGAGCTCTTTTCTTTTGTCTGCAGTTTGAGATTTTATCTTTCACAGAAGCCACACAGAGGTCACAAGGGAGCGTCACAGGGTGATGGAAAAGTTCTATATTTTGATTGTGATGGTGGCCGCATGAATATATACACTGGTCAAAATTTAGCCAATGTGTACTAAAAATGGGTGCATCAGACTGTGTGGAAATCGTACCTTCATAAAACTGGTTTATAAGAAAAGGAATATAATGTGAGTGGTAGAATGTTTAAAATCTTTCCCCTCACCAGTAAAAAGGAAGGGGGCAGTTGAGTTTTTGACTGGGAATAGAGGGTGTTTATAATACAGTAAGTTTAAAAACGTTAACACCAGGCACACCTATTGAAACCAAGGACTACTTTTCAAAACAGATGCTCCTTAGAATTCTCTTTTTTTTTTTTTAAATCACAAGTGACTGTACCTGGGAACCCTCCTCACGTTCACCTCAGTCCAATAGGGAGAGAAGACGGTTGTGAAGGTGGAAGACCATCGTGGAGAATTTCCTGCTGCCCTTCTCATCAAGGTCACACATAGGGCACCGTCAGCAGACGATCCCCATTCTGCCTCTTACAAGCAGGAGAGTGGTTTGCTGTGTTGTGCATATTTAAGACTCCACGTGGGGCGCCTGTGTGGCTCAGTCGGTTGGGCATCCGACTTCGGCTCAGGTCATGATCTTGCGGTTCGTGGGTTTGAGCCCCACATCGGGCTCTGTGCTGACAGCTCAGAGCCTGGAGCCTGCTTCAGATTCTGTGTCTCCTTCTCTCTCTGACCCTCCCCTGCTCACGCTGTCTCAGAAATAAATAAAACATTTAAAAAAAAAAAAAAAAAAAGACTCCACAATCCAGCCCTGGTGGTGAAGTTACCTGCTCGCCTGTGGGGGGCAAGGCAGATGAAGGGTCAAGTCTCGTCCTAGGGTTTAGCTCCAGCATTACTGCTGTACAGGTTTCTTTCCAATCTCCTATTTCTGGCCCTGAGGCAGCTTGGGTGCCTGGATATCAGTGGCTAATTTTTCTGAAGTGCTTGGGCTTGTTGGCAAGAATTTTGTTTCAGGATATCCATCCCTTATTTGCTTTGTCCTTGAACTAATGTCCTGGAAACCACAGATGGTGCCACTTTTTAAAGGGGCCTTGGGGCAGACTCATGAAGGAGGGTAGAACTGACGAGCGGCGGAGTGTGGCTGAGCCGGCATTGCATCCTCTCTGGGGATCAGCTTCCGAATGCACATGCCTTCTTGATTACAGTTGGGGCTTCTCAGATCAGCCCCGCCTTGACCTCTTTTTCTTCCCTTTGAAAGATAAAGATATACTCTGAGTACACGGTTAGGTCATCCTTTCACATGAAGCCACGTTTTACGGCATCATTGATGTGAATAACCTGCTGCCCCACATTTGTCTTGAGTGTTCTAAACAGTCATTGCAACTCTTTATTTTTAGTTCCTCCAGAAGGGAAATAAGCTGTATTCATTCTGATGTTGCTTTTATTAGAAAAGGAAACATAAAGTCACTCAGGGTCCACCAGCCCATTAGTTCTTAAAAAACACAGGATTCTATTTTCCTCCAGTTCTTTGTTGGGTTGTTGCTTTTGGTGCGTTTCCTGTGAACCCACACTCCGCAGACCGTATTTTTCCTCTAACACATTTCTTTTATACAAATGTCTTTTCTCTTGGTCACTTTGGCTTGTAACTCCTGGCCAGTAAGTAGGACCTCCCGCGACCGGCACCCCCTGTGCCTGTGTCTCCTCACCGGAGCCCGTTTCCACGAGCGCGCTGCCGTACGGGGGTTCCTTGTCCCTGAGGGCCGTGGTTTGATTTGCTTTCAGGCTGTGACAATGCCATCATCATCTGGAACGTGGGGACCGGGGAGGCCCTCATAAACCTGGACGATATGCACTCAGACATGATTTACAACGTGAGCTGGAACCGGAACGGCAGCCTCATCTGCACCGCTTCCAAAGACAAGAAAGTGAGAGTGATCGACCCCAGGAGACAGGAGATTGTCGCTGTGAGTGTGGGGGGCAGCCCTGCCGTGTTCATGGCCCTTCGGTGAGGGCGCACTTTGCCTGGGGAGGCAGGCAGCGGGGACCCCGCCCCAGCTGCGCGGGGCCTGAGCGTGCGGGCGCCAGACCGCGGGTCCGCACAGGCTCGTACGGGCTTCCCACTCCCAGTCACACTTCGGAGTTGTGCATCCCAGAATTTACACAAACCGTACCCCTCACTCGGTGACTGTTCTCCACAAAGAAAGTTTCTGTCGGTTCACTAGAACCCTTAAGAGTTTACAAGTCCAGATCAGCTGACCCAGACAGTTGCCTGCGTTGCTGGCTTAGTGCTGAGTGCTAATTGATCCCCGCCCCTACTGCAGCCACTGTCAGACCATCTTACAGAGATGCCGGCCGTGTCTTAGCACCTCGGTGTCTTAGTTTCTTCCACCCAGACTAGGCCTCAGTACGTCACCCATCGTGACAGAAGTTGGGCCTTTGGCACTTGAGCTGGGGTTAAACCTGTAGGTGCTGGATCCCAGAATGTCCTCCGTTTCCCCTTCTCTGGGATGTGCTGGTCCTTTGGCAGTATTACTTCTTCAGAGTTGGGGGGACAGTCACAGCTAGTACTTGTCAGGCGCTGGGGACTTGCCCGGCCATGTGCAAAGTGCCTTCTCCACTAGAACTTTCCAGGGCTCACTGCTAGTCCACTTTCAGTGAACAAATGAGATTAAGGAAGGGGTTAACTGAACTAGACTTCTCTCTGTCCTGCGAAGTTGGTGGAAACCGAAGGGTGTATCCAACTTTCAGGTTATCCCCTGGAGAAACAGACATCTGGTAGAGTCTTTTCATGTGTTTCATTTCTGCAGAGCGCGGACTTGGGTTGGCAGCAGGGCATGGTAGAAAGGAGGAGGCTTTTGAGTCAACTCCTGGCACCCGTGCCTGCTAACTAGCTGAGGGGCTCACTTTGGGAGGAGAGGGGTTAATTCTCTCTCTCTCTCTCTCTCTCTCTCTCTCTCTCTCTCACACACACACACACACACACACACACACAAACCCACCCACCCCCGGCAATCTGAATGTATGGCGTGGGGGACATGGGGTGGATTCGTGTATAAAAGCCCCCACTCCACCTTTCTCTCGCAGTTTGGATATAATGTGCCTCTTGCTCTTTGCCTCCCAGGAGAAGGAGAAAGCACACGAAGGAGCAAGACCCATGAGAGCCATCTTTCTGGCCGACGGGAACGTCTTCACCACTGGTTTCAGCCGCATGAGTGAGAGGCAGCTGGCTCTCTGGAACCCGGTATGCCCCTTCCCAGCCTTTCCTCTGGCTTACACTTGAACTTTCTCTCTTTTCTGAGCAGGTCTTTAGGTGGGTAAGTAGATTTTAAGGTTTTTAAGGTTTTTTTTAATGTTTTTTATTTATTTCTGAGAGAGAGAGAGAGTGAGTGAGCAGGGGAGGGCCAGAGAGAGAGGGAGACACAGAATCTGAAGCAGGCTCCAGGCTCTGAGCTGTCAGCACAGAGCCTGACGTGGGTCTCAAACCCACGAACTGCGAGATCATGATCTGAGCCGACGTTGGACGCTTAGCCCACTGAGCCACCCAGGCGCCCCGATTATAGGGTTCTTAGTGTAGTTTTCTCAACTCCTGTCTGTCCGAAATTGGATGTGACATTCTCATCCTCATTGGAGACTTCTTGCTAAACGTTTTACTAAAATGCATTCTTGACACTCCCAAGTAGTCTCTGTTGGCTGTATTTTTTTAAAAAGAATTCACAAAGAAACAAGTGTTTTAGACTTGGGAAACAAGTTCTGAACTTTATTTTATAAAGAATATGACCAAATGTTGAAATCAGAATAGTCATGCTTGGGAAAACATTAATAGCGTAAGAGAAAAATAAACTGTATATGTGGTGCAGTCTCAGTGTGGGGTGTGTGTGTGTGTGTGTGTGTGTGTGTGTGTGTGTGTGTGTGTGTGTAAGGAAGTAGACTAAAATGGCATTTGTTTCTGCCACTCACTGGAATGTGGGATTGTGGAATGATTGTTACAGCATTTCTGTAACTTTAAAGATTAGCATTTATTTTGTTAAGAAAAAAATGTTTAAAAAAATGTTTTAATGTTTATTTTTGAGAGAAAGAGACAGCGTGAGAGAGGGAGAGACAGAATCTGAAGCAGGCTCCAGGCTTGGAGCTGTCAGCACAGAGCCCAACACGGGAATTGAACCCACAGATTGTGAGATCATGACCTGAGCCAAAGTCAGACACTCACCCGCCTGAGCCACCCAGGCGCCCAGAAAAATTTCTTTTGAAACAGAAAATAGACAGGGTGCCTGGGTGGCTCAGTCGGTTAAGCACCCGACTTCAGCTCAGGTCATGATCTCACGGTTCGTGGGTTTGAGCCCCGTGTCAGGCTCTGTGCTGACAGCTCAGAGCCTGGAGCCTGCTTCAGGTTCTGTATCTCCCTCTCTCTCTGACCCTCCCCTCCTCACGCTGTGTCTCTCTCAGAAATAAAACATTAAAAAAAAGTTTAAACAGAAAATAGTCACAAAGGAGAGACGGTCTCATCTTTGTCATGGAATCGCACTGACGTGTGCATTGATTAGGTTGTCAGATGGACACGATTTTCAGTGGGTTGAATACCATTTGGCATCCCTGTGGTGTTTACACGTGTGAATATTATATGTGCATCATTCAGACTTGCATTATTCTAGGAAAGGACTCACTGAATTAATACAGGAATGATTCATCTTGTAAAAATACGTGTGTATGTACGAACATACAGCTATAGATACCGATACTTGTGTTTTTCTCCCAGAAAAATATGCAGGAACCAATCGCTCTCCATGAAATGGACACTAGCAATGGGGTGTTGCTGCCCTTCTACGACCCCGACACCAGTGTCATCTACTTGTGTGGAAAGGTGAGCGGTTATTTCAGTGTTTTATATTCAGTGCAGTCTTGTAAGAGGAAAAGTTTATCCTTCAGGGATTTAGTCGATGGGCCATGCATTGGGTCCCTTTAGTAGTTTAATTGATCCGATTTGTGTATGTGTCTTAAAACTAAAATAAGGACCAGAGCTTTGGGTGTGTTTTAGGTCTTGAGCCTAGACCGTTTGAACTTTGTCACTTGTGTGGTAACCGCACGCCACACTTAGGGCTCCTGACTATAGCAGGGGTGGGGCGGACACTGACAGGAATGTCTTCACCTGGGGACTTCACACCCCAGTGTCTTACCCCCGGTGCTCTGCGCTTGAGGATTTCAGATCCCTCTCTGGTGATATCAGGAACGAGTAGCCAATCTGCCACATCTACTACTGAAATCCACTGGGAAACCCCCAGAGTGGCAGTTAGGTGCTTACTACCCCGTGCCGGGGGCTTGTAAAGAGAAGAGTGCTTTGTGGACAGGAGCTTCCAAAGGCTTCAGCGACTCTCCTGGGGGTTCTTGTTCCTGGAGTTCGGCATTGGGGCCCCGGGCTTGGAAGTGTGAGGCCTGACTAAAGGGTCGGGAGGTGACAGCTGTTATAACTTCCTACACTAAAATCAAACCCTACGCTAAAATCATAACGTACCTCCTGCGTTATGACCTCCACCTAACTACAGTGCTGCTACCTTTATTATTATCATTGTTTATTTTTAGTGGGCAGTAGCCTTAATGTTCCTGAGTCTTTTGCAGATTCCATTTTTCCTAGAACTTTTGTAGTTGAAATAAATGAACTAATAAATTGGAAGCTGTTGATATCTTTCCCCCAAACCTGTCGAGGCCGCCCCTTGTAGGTCAAGTCAGACACGTTCACTTCTCATAGTTGACTGAACATGCTTTACATGGTCATACATTAGTTGCTTCGAAACCGGGACCTTGTCTGTTTCCTTGAAAGTCATTTTCAGATGTTCCCAGCCACCATAGGCTGCATCAAAACAAGTAACGGGAGCGATTACCCAGATGTTATCAGCACTAGGTGGAAAGTTATTTTGAGCACACAGGAAACAGTCTGCATTTAGCTTCTTTACCATCGCTTTAGATATTAACATCACTGAAGCGAGTGGAATCACGAGGACTGAGACACTTGTAAGGGCACAATCTCATACACACACACATTTCCCCTCCTGCAGGCGGCACTGCCTTCGCTGTTCAGGGTGGCGGCACTGTGGGACACTTAGCTCTGCTTAGAGAGCCTAGCACACGCTTCAGACCCCCAAATCCATCTGACCTTTCCAAGCAAAGTTTTCATAGAATTTGATACATTGCAACGAGATAGCACTATCTTCTGAAGTTAAGGAATACTCATGTTTTAGCGAGTTTCTTAATTATGAATGAAGAATTATTACGAGCTGTGAGTTAATTATAAATTAAGGTTGATTAAAAATTACTTATTCTTAATGTTTCTTTCTTCTACACATCTTACTTTGTATTATCGCCTGGCTGTCTGGTGTTGGTGCCCTCGGGTCTGCAAATGACACCATTCTGTGCCGATCCTTGCCCTCTCCGTGGTCCTCCTAGACTTTTGTTTTTTGAAGTCAAATTGCCATGCGGTTGCTGGGCCAGAGGTGTTAACAGTTTTGCCCTGACTCTGACTTGGCGTCTGGGTTCATCAGAGTCCAACTCAAGCCTTCAGTAGGAGGCAGAGGAGACCAGTAGGAGGCATGTAAAAGACATGCTATATTTGATAAGCGAGGGCTTTGCCAGGAAGGAAAACCATCAGATCCTCTTTCTCTGACGAGGAAACAAAGGTTGGCCAGTGAGGTGAAGTCCCAGTAACTGCTGGGTTTACAGGTGAGAGAGACATCGCCTCATCCAGGTGCTTCAGGTAACAGTCAGTGCACCATTGTCTCTGCTTTCTCGTAGGGGGACAGCAGTATCCGCTACTTTGAGATCACAGACGAATCCCCATATGTCCACTACCTCAACACCTTCAGCAGCAAGGAGCCTCAGAGAGGGATGGGCTACATGCCCAAGAGGGGACTTGACGTTAACAAATGTGAGATTGCCAGGTAAGGAGTCGGTATGGGTCACGTATGCACACTGTCCGTGCCCTGCATGGTACACGAGAGCTACACAACCACCAGTAACGGCCAGGGCCGCACTCCTGTCTGCCCTCTGCCAGGCAGAGTCGGTTTCTCATTTCCTGTCCCCGCTGAGGAGCACAGAGTTCAAGAGTGGGAAGGAACTTTCAAAATCATGTCCCAGAACTATGCTCCTCCCTGTTCTTCAGACCGTGTGACTGAAGCACCGGAGAAGGGGCTCAGCCACGGCGCATCGCACCTGACAGGGTCAGTCTCTTGTCTGCAGGCTGAGGCTGTGGCCAGGGGCCCCTGGGAGGCAGGTGGGGGCAAGCCTGCCCCTGAGATGGACAGAGTAGATGGTTTTCCTGCTCCATGTGGGGACAGACATGCTCCACACTGGATCATGGGCCTCATGGACCCTAAACTAGAGAAGCCAAAGACCAATAGCTGGGTGTTGGGTTAGCTTGACTTAGGAAATGCAGCTATGTTATAGAATTCCTGCCTCTCTATACTACTGGGGGCTTTTCCTTAAAAAATTTATTATTGCATAGTGCCAGTGGTCTTCCTAAAGGGTAGGCTTTTTCTCCTCCTCCTCAACAGGAGACTCACGAAGGACTGGCCACTAGGGATGGGAGGCAGGGAGCCTCAGCACTGGAGCAGGGGAGGGGCAGAGAGAGGGGGAGACAGAGAATCCCGAGCCGTCTCTGTGCCATTAGCACAGAACCTGACGTGGGGCTCGAACCCTCAAACCGTGCGATCATGACCTGAGCCAAAACCAAGAGTCGGGCGCTCGACCGACTGAGCCCCCAAACAATAGGCTGTTTTGAGCAACAGAATGACTAGCACCACGCTGTTGGGTCCGTGCCCATACTGCACCTTACACAACACATTTCTGTGGACATCTGACGACCTCTGCTGTTTAGGTCATGTGGTTAAATAATGAGCACGTCTTTAAAAAGAAAAAGAATTTTTTTATAAGCCCCTTTTTAGATTAATTGCTGTAAGTTTCATTTTAAAATATATTTAATTCTCTGTAGCTGGAGTAGTGAAGGAAAGAGAATTCAAAGTTATAGTTTAAACCAAACTCCTCAAAACGTGGTTCAAAATAGATTGACTCCAAACTTTTCACGCTTCTCACACTCGAGAACGCATTTATTTTACTGTCATCTAAAAGCTTAAAAGCCTGTAAGCATCGTCATTCAGGTTACCTCCTACTTCTGTGTTTATTGAGCGTTCCCCGAGCTGGACATCAAACCCAGGCCTGTTTGGGTTTTGTTTTTTACCACCCTGCCGACTGCAGAGTGCTTTATGTTCCTACTCTTTCCACATTTTGGATAATTTCAAATTTTTCTTGAGTGTTAAACATGATGTGGTTTGCTTGATTGCCAATATTGTAATCCTAGGATTATCTTTTTTTCCTTTTTAAAAATCCTATTTATGCCCACAAGTGTCCAGCCGCCTCTAGCTGGTAGAAGACCTGGCGTCCAAATCGTGGATGTTTATCTCGTATCAGGTCTTATTCGCTCCTGTCTGTCGACTTGGTCACTTTTCCAGAAGTGAGTCATTGCTGGGGGTGATGTTTCCCCGACGGCTGATCAGCCCCGAAGACTGGGGTTTGACTGTCCCAGCAGCAGAGTCCTCAACCCCTGACTCCTGTTTCTAGTCCACCATTTCCTGGTGGAGCTGCTCTTGGCTTCTATTTTCGCATCTGGAAAATGGGAACACAGATTGCACCCGCCGCCCAGGGTACATCGGTGGGGCGCTAGGCAGGGCAGGTCGTGTCCCAGACGGCGTCGTAGAAGAGGGGTTGCTACAAAGCCCAGTACTTGGCCTCCTATTTCACTTAATACAACTTTGCCTTTATTTCCTCCTTGAAGATTCTTCAAACTGCATGAGAGAAAGTGTGAGCCTATTATCATGACTGTTCCAAGGAAGGTAAGTGCCCAGTTTCTTAGGCAAATCCGTGTTTAAAAGATTTTTAAACGTCTGGTCTTTCTTCTTTAACTGAGGGCTTTCCCAAAACGTCTCTTGCAGTCGGACCTTTTCCAGGATGACCTGTACCCGGACACGGCAGGGCCCGAAGCGGCGCTGGAGGCAGAGGAGTGGTTCGAGGGGAAGAACGCAGATCCGGTTCTCATCTCCTTGAAGCACGGGTACATTCCTGGCAAAAACAGGGATCTCAAAGTGGTCAAGAAGAACATTCTGGATAGCAAGCCCAGTGCAAATAAGAAGTGTGACCTGATCAACGTCCCCAAGAAAACCCCGGACACGACCAGTGTGGTAAGGGCCGCCTGAGGTTGGGGGGTGTGCTCGGCTGGCTCGGGGCTCTCCGTGAATGATAACATGACTGTTTCTTTCTTTCTTTCTTTCTTTCTTTTTTTTTTTTTTTATAACATGACTGTTTCTAAAAACCTCCTTAGCCACATGGTATTTTTGAGTTTGTGGATACTTTTGGCTCCATTAGCTTTTTTTTTTTTTTTTTTAATGACCAGGATAGAAGTCAGGCTACAGCCATTTTTGAGAATACACAGGAGCCTCTGGGGTGTTTTCCTAACTGTGCCTCCCCAGACTGTTCACATCCGTCTTTGATTGGGGTGGAGACGAAGCAAGAGAGCGCGGGGCCACAGATGCCAGAGAAGGGGTCCCAGGAGGGGGAGAGAGCAGTGTGAGGGTCCACATGTTGCTGAGGGTCCCAGTGACACTGGCGTCTGGCGGCGAGTGCAACATAGCAAAGATGACCTTGGACCTGTTGGCAGGAACGGTCAGGGTGGAACGGTGGGAGCCGAAGCCTGACGTGGGGGCCCACGGGCCGCAGGCTCAGGCCGGGGAGCAGAGGAACTGGCGGGCGTGGAGCAGGATCCCAGGGGGCCACAGGGAGGGCGGCAAATTGTCACTGAGAAGGTAAGAAGAATGGAGAGGCTGAGTGCCTGGAGGAGCTGGCACTTTGGCTGTGACCAAGGAAGCCACGTGAGGTGCCGTGGACTGCAGGGTCTCCCCCGGAGTCCGTTCCACGTGGGAGAAGCTGAGACCTCTTTAGAGGAGGTGGCAAGCAGGGCAAGGGGGTTAGCTTCTAAGAAGGGCCCTCCCTGGGAGACAGCAGGAGCTCGGTAGCCTCTGGAAGGTCACCCCTGACCCGGGTCACGTAGACGTTGCACCCAGTGGTGTTTCCCAGGGTGGCCAGGCTATGACGCAGCCGTGAAGGGACTGGTCCCTTGCTGCAGTTTGTGTCCTGAGACTGAGTCTGGGTAAGTGCACAGGCTGGGGAGCAGCGCCGCAGGCCTCTGGCTCTGCTGGGGGCGCCAGCTGGGCTGACCAGCATCCCGGACTCTGCCAGGGCCCAGCCTGGTGGCGGCGCCGGGCCCCTCCCCGCGTGCAGAATGAGACTGTGTGCCTCAGAAATGCTCAACTGTGGTGAACCTCACGGACTGCGTTTTAATCAACCTCTTACCCTCTCCCCCTTTTTGGTTTTCTTAGCAAAATGAAGCCAAGTTGGATGAGATTTTAAAAGAGATCAAATCTATAAAAGACACAATCTGCAATCAAGATGAGCGCATTTCCAAGTTAGAACAGCAGATGGCGAAGATCGCCGCCTGAAGGTCCACCCCCCACCCCCAAAATGGGAGCAGGAACTCGGTGCGCGGTAGCTGGTTGTGGGCGTGGTCCCAGGGAGGGCGGAAGGGAGGCACTGCCTTGGGGACCTTCCGTGTCAGCTTGGTCGACCAGCGACGGGCTGCATTCCAGTCAGAACTCAATTCGTCTCCCAAATTTGCAGAAACAAAATGTGATTTAAAAGCTGAGCTTTTTATCAGAAAGCTTTTTTGATGTTTTAAGTGTTACGTGACTTGTCGAACTTTTAAAAGACAAAAGTGCTACTTTTAAAATCCCAGATATTCTGAATTTTAGAAATCCAACCAATTCTGATTCAGTGTCGTGCCCACGTACCTTTTTTTTTTTTTTTTTTTATAAACAGGGACCAATGCCACATTGCTTTTTATATTTCTTTTTTTTTAATGTTGCCAAAACCAAAAGTAGCTCCTCGCCCCCCGCCCTTGTATTTTGCTACTTTGCAGTATTTGTGTGTGGTTTTTTTTTTCTCCTTGATTTGAAAGGGACAGCACTGTGTATGTTTATAAACTAAATGAAGATATTATTTTGTATACACGTTCATCCGAGAACAATCAGCGCGGTAGCCACGTGGTGCTGGCTCGTTGGCGGCACAAACCCGGTCACTCTCACGACCGTATGGAAGGAGGACTTGAAAACTCACGTGGGGTCGCGTCCCCACCACCCCCCTCCTTTCACAGAGTCTTCTGATCAAAAAAAAAAAAAGCTCCTCTTGTATCGTCTCCTTTCTTTCCTTTCTCTTTCCTAGAAACTGGGTGGTTGTACCAGATGGAATTTCACTTCTCAGTTATCCTGTGCTTCAGATGATTATAATCTCACCTGAACTCGCGTGTGTTTCCGCAGTTTTGTTATCCAGTAGGATCTGTTGCATCGATCACTGTAAACATCAGGTTTCAGGCTTCGGTCCTCACTTGACTAGAGTGCCCAGGACAAGAGGCCCCGGGAGCCACTGTGGAGTGCTCCTTCTTGCCCGGCTCAGCAGCCTGCCCTGCTCTCGGGGGCGGGGGGGTGGGGGGGGATGACAGCAGGCTGAGGGCACCTGCGGAGGGGGGAGCATGGCCACCTGCTGCCCTCCCAGGGCCCCGGCCTCCCCTCCGTTCCATAGGCGCAGCCACCTCTCTCAGGGCTCCCCCAGACCGTCCTTCTGTCTTTCCTGCTGCTCAGCCCTCGCCACGGTCAGCTGAGATGAGGCCAGAGGGTGCTATTGACTGTTAGGCTAGAACAGTCCAGAATGAAGCGAGGCCAGGAGGGCGGGCCTCTGCCGTAGCTTTAATGTGTCCAGACTCATTCCTTCACACCCTCCACACAAACCAGTCTGCCCCCCGCCCACCCCAGCTCACGCAGAGGCTGGCTCAGAGCACAGAGGCCCCCCAGATTTGGCCGGCGACTGCACTCTGAGAGCCTGTTCCATTGCTGGGTCAGCTGGAACGGCTGCATCCCCATGTTCTCGCTTTGCTTGCCTGCGGAACAAGAGCTGAAGGATCTCGGGAGGACTGAGAGTCTGTGGTTGAGCAGGAAACGTGGAGTGCCGATGAGCCCCCGCGTCTGCAGCAGGGGACCAGGGGGGAGGCGGGACCTGGCGACCCTGGGCTGGAACGCGCAGTCGAGCCGGGGCTACTGTCCACGTAGGAAAGGTACCGTGTTTTTACCCAGAGTCGGGATGCTGTCTCCACAGTTTCAGGGCATCTGAATGTTTGGTGCATGCGTGCGTGCGTGTGTGTGTGTGTGTGTGTGTGTGTTATATCGGAGTGGATAATGAGATGTAAAGAAAACAATTACAGTGACTTATATTCAAACCTGTACATGTTTCTTTATCAACGTAACCTGCTGAGGACCTTCATTTTTAAAATTCAGAAATGTTTTAAGGTTCTGACAAATTAAGCAAACAAAATTGTTGATGGTGGTGGAACCTTAGGAAATGTGGTTCAAAGAGAAGACAGAGGGCAGGAAAAACTACTCTGATTTTAGTGGTTTTAGCTTATGACTTATTTAATGAACGGATGCCTGGCCAGGCTCAAAGTCGGCGCCTGAAGCGTTGTGGATTATTTTTCCTGTTTTTTTTTCTTTCTTTTTCTTTTTTTTTCTTCTTTTTAATGCCGTGCTATCCCAGAGGAGAACCAGTGAAATAAATACTCCTAGATCGGCTCTCATAGAGCGCCCATAGCATTCTGTCAAAACACTTGCTTCCATTTTCAAAGATAAAAAAATCATTGGTTACAAAATGGTGTCCGTGTTTATTTCACACCTTGAGCTGTCTTGGGGGCACTAGCCGGGCGACCATTTCCTCTCTGAGGGGGAGTACGGGGGAAGTGTGGGTGGGCCACCGGGCTCCGGCAAAGCGGGGAGATCAAGTGGGGGGGACGTGGGGCGCCTGCTTCGTGTCGGACCCCAACAGGCCTGCGTGTTTGAGTCCTGCCTCCCGCCTTTACCAGAGGGGGGATCTGGGGCAGACACCCTTTTCCTGCTGTGAAGGAGGGGGGCGCATTCCCTGTGGTTCGCAGGAGAGCTGCCTGCGCCCGGCCACACACACAGCCGTGGCCACCGTCGTTGCTCCGCTGAGCTGATTCCCTGACGGTGCTTTGGGAAGCGTTCTCTTCAGTGGCAGTTTAGCCCTCTCGCTTAGCTGGGATTTTTATTCCATCGGAAGGTTTTCAGGGTCATTCGAATCTCATGGCCTCTTTCAGCTTCCCTTTTTACACCAGGATCTTGTCTCATGACATTTCGGTGACTTTAGCAAAGAATTCCCCACCATTTGGTGTTTCTGAAGGTTTGTAAACAAGATGAATAATTGGCATGAAGATCCCACCCCACCCCACCCCACCCCATACATTCTCTTAAAGTTGCTGAGTCGCCGAGAGCAGCAGCCAGGTTCGTGGGCAGCTCGTGGGTGGCTGCAGGAAGTAGCGGGGGCAGATGCTGTCTGTGCCCCTTGGTGCCCACAGTCAGGGGGCAGCTGCGTGCTGCGAGGTGTTTACACCGGCTTTCTCCCACTTCGGCTGCCTTGCTGCTTTGCCAGAAGACCTGATGGTGACCATGTCCGCCCCAGACGGCCGGCCGGGCCCCATCGAGGGAGAACTTCTGTTTTTTTAAAGGCTACTTCCCTTGCTGTTCTTGGTGTTCTGTGTCCAGAAAAACTTTTTGTTGGCTCTTAAGAATCCGTTAACTCTAAGTGGCCCCTCTCTCCTGCTAGCATGTTAGAATGTCCCAACGCCATCCCCGGACTCAAGCGTGAGTCATGGCCAAGGACGCTCACATTTCCTGCGAGACTGAAGGGGGTGTTGGCACACTGGTGCAGCCTTTCCAGAGGGCAGTGTGACAGGGTCCACCGAAGTCTTAAATGTTCCTACCTTTCGGCCCAGGAAATTGTGCCCCAAGGAAACCAGTGGAAGATCTCTTCAGGAATTAGCGGAGGAAAAAGTGGTCTAGGACACATTGCTTTTCACAAGCCCTCTTGAGGCTTGTGCATATACAATGTATATTTACGTGTAGAATAAACACGAGATTTGTTGCTGTGTGGAGGTACCAGCGGTGGGTAATTTTTATTTAATTAGATTTTCCTGAATTTTCTATCTCACACAAATGTCTTTACTCCCAGAAAGAAGTTATTAAAACTAGGGGCGCCAGGATGGCTCAGTCAATTAAGTGTCCAACTTGGGCTCAGGCCATGATCTCTCCGAGAGTTCAAGCCCCACATCGGGTTCGCAGATTCTGTGTCTGTCTCTGTCTCTTTCTCTCTCTGCCCCTCCCCAACTCATGCTCTCTCTCTCCCTCTCAAAAATAAACATTTTTTTAAAAAGTTGTTAAGGGTTGCCTGGGAGGCTCAGGTGGTTAAGCATCTGGTTTCGGCTCAGGTCATGATCTCACGGTTCATGGGTTCAAGCCCCGCATCGGGCTCTGTGCTGACAGCTCAGAGCCTGGAACCAGTTTCGGATTCTGTGTCTCATTCTCTCCGCCCCTCCCTCGCTCGCACTCTGTCTCAAAAATAAACATTAAAAAATTTTTAAGTTACTAACATTAATGTATGGGCTGCCAGGGTGGCTCAGTTATTTAAGTGTCTGGCTCTTGGCTTTGGCTCAGGTCATGATCTCATGATTTGTGGGATCAGGCCCCCTGTGCTAACAGCACAGAGCTTACTTGGGATTCTCTCTCCCTCCCTCACTGCCCCTCCCCCACATGCTCTCTGTCTCTCTAAATAAATTAAAAAGCCAGTTCCAGGGGCAGAGACTCCTCAGAGCCCCACGACAATACCAGTGTATATTCCTAATAGAGTCAGTAGTTAAACGGAAGGAAACTTTTTATTTTCAAGTTTAGAAGAAAAAATAAGTCCTTTTCCACCCAGACTTCTGCCTGCGGAAAACGTTTTAAATCACAAAGGAAAAGATACATTGGCTCCATAAAAATGAAATTACATTTTTATTTAATGTAATTTATTTAATATGTCAAAAAAATGAAGGTCACGGAGGCTGGGAAATGTATTTTCATCCAATATGATATGAAGTGATATATTTGGATCTAATACACCTAATATATTTCGAGTAACGTGCTCGATCGCAGTCCCAGCTGCTTTCTCTGTTCGCGACGCGGGTGATCTGTGCTGATGTGCCCACAGCACCTTCCCGGCTCCTAGGAATGGAGCCCGGCAGCACGTGGCTTAGCACAACCAGAGGTGGGAGGTCAGTGCTAGGAGACACTGGGCATAGTGAGCTTTGTTCCCCAACTGCAAGTTTCTGGAAAAGGTGGAACAGAGAAGAAGGGAGAAACTGCTCCAGGTCCAAAGGTACCCAGGGGTAAGGTGGCACCAGGTTTGGTAGGTTGGCTCTAACGTGGAAAAAGTTGAGTTTAGAGAAGCCGCCATCCTCTTTGCAGCTCAGTGTATGGAAATGCAAGCAGGTCAGACAGCTGATTTTAAGAGCCAGGGTTAGTACGGGGCTGGGGGTGGCGAGGAGTATTGGGGTGAGAGGAACACAGCTCAGGTTGTGGTAGGGACCCCTCCCTAAGGAGAGAGAAAAAGAAGAGAGAAGACTTCAAGGTCACCTAGATATGCCCCTAGGTGCCTACATTCCCCATGACCTTGTAAACTGAGACAGCCTGATCAGACCAGGTGTTTAGGTGTGTTACCATATATGGGAGACAAAGAAATAGAAGATGCATAAAAACTATGTTGTGTGATGTGGGCTGCTCCGTTCTTTGGGTACGAACCCAACTGAGCAACACCGGCACGAATGAAGTTGCTTCCTGGAAGGAAACGCCTCGGTGTCACGACTTTCTGCGCGAGTCCTGCAACAAGGCGGCTGAAGGCATGTGTCTGCTGCAGTTTGCTCCATCCAGGAGCGTGGGAAGCAAGTAGATGTCTTCTGTTCCCCAAACCATGGGGCGCTTAGCTTTTTGTTTTTCAATGGAGAGGCTTCCTCACACTGGTCTCAAAGACTGAATATTTTTGGAAAGGATGACGAGGTGGGTCTGCAGCAGCCCCGGAGAGATGATTCAGACCAAAAGCTCAGCAGGCGGTTGCAGCTGTCGGGACGGGACAGCTTCGGGGTGAGAGACCAGCAGTCATCAGGGTTGCAAAGGGCAAGGGCAGGCTCGCCCGGTGCCAGGTGCCGCGTGTGCCAGGGCTCAGATAGACATAAAGTGCCATCACCGCCGGCCGGTTTAGACGACGTCAATGGGTTCCGGAGGAAGGGGTCTCACCCGCAGGGTGCCTGGGGGCCCTGAGGGGCTGCCGAAGCCAGGAGGGTGGGGCTCCAGACTTGCTGAGCCTTCCCTCCACGGGGTGCCTCTCTGGTCCCCAGCTGCAGGCCCCGCCTTCACCGCAGCCCTGCCG